TATTGGCAGAATAAGAATTACATCATAATCCACACTTAGCACCCATACATCTCTGAGGATTTAATCCCTTCTTATACCACTGGTCACCACTTCTGACATTTCTCACTTAGTATGGACCATCAGTGTCTCCTTCCTTCTAGGAGCCATCCTAGTAGTGTGCCTGCAACCTCTCCCTGGTCCTTGCTAGGTGATGCATGCTGTACATGAGGAGAGTGCTCCCAAAGAGACAGACTTCTCTCAGCCAATTGAATACTCCACTGCCCTCGATCTTATACCCTCAGAATCAAGTCCAGTGTATGCAAGGTCTCCCTGCTCTGGCTGCTAGCAGCTGACTAGGTTTTGCAACTCCATTAGTATGTAGTCCCTTTCCTCCCTATCAGGCCCAGTGTGTCCCTGGCTGGGTTATATTGTAAGTTAACTAAAGATTTGGCCTAATGGTCTATATGGATTTATGCTTTCCAGTGGGGGAGTGACCTCTCCATCATTTGTGGAGTTGGAAGGAGTTCTTGGTCATCCTAGAATTCCACTTAAATTATGAGTTACTGCTCTTCCATGAGGTGTCCTTCCTTTATACACTGCTATGGGAAGAAGTAGCTTAGGTTAAGCGTACAGCCCCTTGTAATCAGTTTGACTGGGCTTATTTCTCTTAACCTCTCTTGATCTCAATTTACCTATGAAGCACAGATAGCACTGGTACCAAGTTCATAAGGCTGTTATGAGTAGTAAACAAGATTCTCACGTGAAACATTTAACCAAGTGTCTGATGTAACAAACAGTAAATGTCAGCTATAATTTTTCTAAGAAGAAAATGTTTTTTTTTACCAGATATGTATTTAAGGGAAAGTGACCATCAGAAAACTTAATATGTAATGTTAAATAGTATCATTTATCATCTTCAAGCAAGAGGGGAATTCCAGACCTTTAAGAAGTAGGTCATTCTCCTAGTTCAGAACTGAAAGAGGAAAGAAAACCTCTCCAGATGATATTCTCCATAGAAACACTGCTTCTTTGTAGTTTTTATTTTTTCTGTAATCTTTTCATTCCTTTATATTTTTCATTCCTTTATAAATTTGCATAAATGAGGAAGGAAAGGGACATGGGAAAGGCATCATGATTAATATTTCCTGCCTATGATTAAAATGCTGAGATATAAATAGTATAGGAAGAACAGGAGAATCTTCATCTTAAGGCTAAGATCCCATTTTAAAAATGAGGTAGTTAGGAGGCAGGATTCCTAAAATGTTTTTTGATAATCAGACAAAAACTGACCCTGTCTTAAAGCAGCACCAGCAGTCCTAAATGACATGTCCTCACTGCTTGAGGATAACCACTATCTTGCAGAACAGGATCAAGAAATCCCTTGGGTTAAGCTTATCTTACAGAATATCTAGAGGACAGATTATGGATGGTGACATGTCTCTCACTGGAGACAGACATCATGAGACCACATGTGAAGCCTACACCCTTGGGTCCCCCACCCCCACACTTTGTCCCATTCTTTAAGGCCTTAAAAGAGAATCCTAAGCAGTTGAGCCCACCACCTCTCTGAGTGAGGTGCACTCCCCTTTCTTTCAGTGTGTACTTTTTCCCTTAGATAAAGACTTCTCACTGCTCACTTACTACATTTTGTCTCTACGCTCTTCCAGTGTTAAGTGGCAATCTCACTTTGCTATTTCATTCAATTGTATACACTTAAGCACAAGTTTTCACTCTCTGTCCTACTTCAGTCAAGTAAGAAAGGGCTACTGAGCTCTGATTTGGGCTTGCAAGTTCCCATCACCTGGGTGACCCAGACAGGACTGCAGCTGTACAATCATGCTCCTTAGTAGCCTGACCAAAAATCTTCTTTCTTTGACTTTGGGAAGTTCTCAGAACGTGAACTCACTCCATCCAGTGCTCTGTGGCTCCTCCAAATCCTGGGGTTATAGGGGCTTAGTTCCCATGCAGTGCAGATTTCAAGCAGACACTGGATGCCAGGTGACCCTGGCTTTAGGAGTTGGCAAGGGATTTGCCCTATGCTGAGCAGGGGTTCAGTGAGTTTCTCTTTCCTCCCTCTGTTCTTCCTTGCTTTTTGCTGCCAGCAAAGCAGCTGCCATTCACTTCTACTCTCCCTTTAATGAATTCCTTCCTCACCTATACTCATTCAACTTGTTTAAGAATTCTTGTTCAGAGCCAAGAACCTCCCCCAGCCCCAATCCATATTGAGGTTTCACCTAGTACACAGGGAGAGACCTCCCTAGATGCAGCTGCCTGGCAACATAAATATTTGGAGGATTTTAAAAAGCATAAGTCTGACATTGATTTGTCCTCTACCATGGAAGGTTTACTTTTCAACTTTTGGAAAATGATAAGCATATGTTATAAAGCTGATAATTTATACTTAACATGATTTGCCTTTTTAAAAGGCATTGATAATTAGAAAGGAGAAGAATAACATTTGATTTTGATAAAGATGATAAGTTCTCTATGAAGATTAAAAGAAAATGAACAATTAAATAAGATTTTTAAGCATAAAAATTACTATCTCCTCTTTTAAGTGAAAAATTAAAATGTGTAATGACCCCTTGAGAACCTTTCTAATAAGGAATGATAATATGTTTCTGTCATTTTTCAAATTGCTGTGTTTTTGACAGCCAAACCTTGTTTTTTTGACTCTAAGTAAAAGCACAAAAGCCATTTATTATTAAAGGAAAACAAAACATACCTGCTACAGATCACTGTTATAGCTTTAAGTTTTCTTTAACTAATTTTGTAATTATAAAAAGTATTTTAAGATTTATTACAACCCAATTAAGCAAATGTTGAGAATCACAGTTGCTAGTATTTTTNCAGCTAAGTTTAAATGCCTTAGAGCTGAAAGAGTTCCTAATGTATTTCTTTCCCCTCAAAAAAATCTTTCAATGTGGAAACAATAAATTTCACAGAAAAAAAAACAGGTAAATAACAGTGTATATGATCTCATAGAAGAGAAAATGAGTAGTAAATTCTGAATACGAATTTTAGGCATTGGGAAAGGGACTTTTCAATTGTCTTCGCCTAGGTTCTTAAGAAAGTAGGCCCTGAGTTTAAGATAAAAAGTTTAGATAAAGCACCTTTATTTGGGTGGTGGAAGCCTAGACAATTGATGATGGAGGAAAAGAAAAAAGTAGACAAGGCACAGAAAAAGGAAATATGGTGTGATAAGCAGCCTTACAGAACTGACCCCTTCTCTATGGATTGTTGAGAGGGCAGGAGCACCCACCTGGAGGCAGGGGTGTTCACACAGACTGAGAGGCAACACATTGGGGGCCAACAACGGGTGCAAGGGGCCCAGTCCAGGAGGAGGAGGAGCAGCTGGTCAAAATAGTTCACTGCCCCTTTATTAAACAAAGGCGAATGCCCTGATTGACAGAGCTTTTTCCCGTAGCCGATTATCAACCCAGTTATCATTCCCTGGAATACAGGATTTTTGTGATGCTTGGAACTCTGCAAAATTCCTGCAAGCTGTTAATTTTGATACGAATGCTCCTACTACCTTCCATAAGAGATCCTTCCCCGTGTTTAGTGCCGATGTACTGGCAGGAGGAGTTAGTGGGCTCATACCAAAATGGTTTGGTATAGCTTTTGGTGAAGGAAAACTGTTTTCCATTCCTTTGGCAACAGGAGTGGCTGGCAAAGAAAGTGACACTTGCACAGCAGAATCCCTCTTTTCAGAGTCTAGAGTTTGCTTTCTGGTTACTTCTTGTCTTTCGCGAGCTGCTAGTTCTTGTTTTAACTCTCTTACTTCATCCTTTAACCTCTGCACAGAGACCAACGAAGATTCCTTTTCATCAAGTTCACTCTCTAAGTATGCATTTCTTTCGAGGGCCTCATCTAGCCTTTGCTCAGACTCTTCCAGGGAAACTACTGCTGCCCTTTGTGCGCGCTCCAGGTCATCCTTGGCTTGCTCCAGCTCTCTCACGTACCTCTGCAACTGCTCCTTAACCACCCGAGTCTGATTTAAATCATCCTCTAATACTGTGACCTGCTTGTAACTTTGTGCATGCTCATGTTCTGGCTTCTCTTTTAATGCCTCCACTTCGTATTTCAGTCTTTGGTTGTCAGCTTGCAAGTCTCTCTTACTTTGTTCAGCCAGTACTAACTGTGCCTCCAACTCTGCTTCTAATTCCCTGCTTCTTTCCTGGAATTCAAGTAGCTCATCCTGAGTTTCCTGGAAGCTTTGTTTATACTTGAAGGAAAGTTCTTTCCAGAAAGCAGTTTCCTCCTCTAAACTAGAAAAATATGGTTTATCTTCAACATCCATAGTCAAGAAAGTCTCCAGCCTGTCAAAAGGGCACGTTCAGCGCCTCTCGGCAGACGTCTCCGCTCTTCTGGCCCAGCCAGGGCCGCCCAGCAGCTCAGCCACTGCTCCACTCCGCAGTTCCAAGCTCTGAGCTCCACTCCACGCACCTCAGTGTCCAGCTCCTCCCCAGCGCATCAGGGGTTGCCCGGGAGACATTCTGTGACATAGAGGGCGTGGTTCAGAGCATGCCAGCGCGGGGCTGTCATGAGGAGGGCGTCGCCGGGGGCGGGGTCAGGCCCACCGCGTTAAGGTCAGACTGACAGTGGCCTTGTGCACAGGCGCTCCCAAGCTCCGCAATATGCGGTTTTGGCCATCGAAGTTTTCCCTGCACACTTTGCCACTCGGGAAAGAGGCACCACCGTGGTTAAAAGTCGGCTTTCCAGTTCCTTCAAGTGTCAGTGTTTAGCTGTTCTTGTTCACATAAGATGAATCTCTTTGGGTCTTATTATGTGGAACATGTTTTTATAGCTGGAGATACAATGATGATGAACATCAACTTTCTTACCCTCAAAGAGGGGAAAGATCAGAACTAAGTAAGGTAATATAGTAGATAAACTCAAATACTGATGAGTACTACAATGAAAATAATGTGGAAAAAGGGACTGGTAGGTGCTCTCTGTGAATGTAAACTTTGGATTGACAACTGAACAATGTGAAGGAGGCAGCCATGCAAAGATTTGAGACAGGAGCATTCCAAGCATACGGAACATCAAGTTCATGGCAGCTGACAAGACATATACTTGGCCTGTTTAACTGTCAGAAAAAAGGCCAGTGTGGTTAAGTATAGTGGGAAAAAAAAGAATGTGGAGGGAGAAGCACCACAGAGAGGCAGGGTCCAGAAAATGTAGGACTTGGAGACCAGTGAATTCTGCTGGTGTTTACTCTTGTGGCTAAAGGGAGCCATTCAAAGGCTCAAGCAAAGCCATATCACCATCTTATTTACATTAGCTTCTGGATGGATGGTGGATTATAGCGGAGAGAAAGAAGGGGCAGAGAAACTGCTCAGGAATCTGTTTCCCTACTGTAGGTGAGAGATAATGGCAGGCTGATTCAGACTAGCAGCACTGGGGGTGGAAAAGTAAGCAGTCAGACTGAAGGAATACATTTCAGAGGCAGAGCTGACAGAGCTGATAAATAGAATTAAGCATGGATTCCAGGTTTTGGATGGATTGACTAGATAGATCGCAATGCCATTTCCCAAACTGGGGAAAGTTGGGATTTAAATGGAAACAAATGTCCTCATGCAGAGGGAGATGTCTAGGAGGAATGTATATATTGCTGAGGGAGATACATCAGAATCAGTATACTCTCTGTCTAACTAGATCTGTATAGATACACTGACTATAGTGTGTTTGTGTATATATAAGTTAGAGCACATAGAATGTAGTATGTACACTATGTAGCATAGATTTTATATTATCAATGATATAGTAATATAATTCATAGATACCTTATGTGCTGTCCTGAGGGCCAGCATATGCAGAAAACCTACTCTTTGGCAAGCCCTTTATGTCTGGTTATCTAGCCTCTTCCAGGAAGACGAAGAGTGTATCTACCCTTTCCCATGGGTCGGCGTCCCACCACATCACTGAGCACATCATTGCTAGACAGGCTGAATATAGCTGATATGAATCCAGATGTCTTCTAGCCAGACACTTCTTTAAAGGACAATTAATCATTTCAAAGGAAGTAAACAAAACAACCTGCCGAGCTCACATGCGCAGTGGGCAGGGCCACATGGCTTCCCCGTAAGCCTCTAAGAACCAGGGTCTGCATCAACTCTGTGGAGTTAAACCAGACTTCATGATCAGGTGATACCCAAGGTGGAGTGGACGGTGATTCTATAAGCGGCCGAAACTTGCATTTGGTTGAGATGCCCAGATTCAGGGATCTGAGAGTGATGATAAATTTCTGAGGAAATGCATCATGTGCTGCTGAGGGTGGATGTTTTGGGGGGCACTCTGCAAAGCCTAAGTCTGAACATCTGTTCCCCAACAGCCGCAGGAGCCTCAACATGCTGCTCAGAGATGAGAAACCCAGACTTAAACGTGGCTGGCACCAGTTTTTCATTCTGAGCCTCTATGTCTTCTTCATGTATCTCCTGCTTGCTTGTTCTGTTGTCTCTGTCCCCAATCCTTGGCCCAGTAACACATCAAACACACAGTGTTCTTGAGCTAGATATTATATGTATTTCTCATTAAGGATTCAAATAGAAATGTAAGTAAAATCAATGGCCTCCTTACTTCAGCCATGACTGCCCTCTTCCCAACACCCAGGTCTCCAAATTAGATGATGGGAGGACTTTACCAAAGTTCACAAAGAAAAGAATATGTTTTTGCTTCTCCTCCCCTTTGGATCACAAAGCTTAGGTTCTCTACCATATAAACATTTGCAAGTCTGTAAGAAACAAGTCGCAGTGTTCATTCAGAGGTAAACAAAATAAGAAAGGAGTTTTATTATTTATTTTAGGAGGACATTATTAGGAAAAGAGAATTAAAAGAAATGTAAAAAATCATCTCTGCTCACCACTCTCAGTAGTAGTATCTATTTACTTGTTCCAAAAAGGAAGCTCCTGTTTTAGATGCTGAAGCCGGTGCAGCTTCCAGAGAACTGGATCTGAGGGGAGTCATCACCCCTGTCCTCAGTCTCCCGTGGAATGCGTCCGTGCTGCTCTATGCGAGGCTTCTGCTGGAGGAGTCACCTTAAGACGTAATATTAGCCTTCCTTGTCAAGATTATTTCACATGCCTTTATCACTTCAGATAGAAAGCTATTACTTTATGTGGTAGTGACTTGCTTTTATCTTTTGAAAAATTCAAGTCCTGACGTCAGTGTTATAAACAAATGCTTCTGTGCTGAGCTATATACTTTGAGCTGACATCCTAATACAGTGAGCCCAGGTGTCATATGCCACTGGCTTTACTATTGAAAGATCAGTGGGGAAACTTTTAAACCATGGTATTTCCACATTAAAGTCTAAGTTGCTCACTTGGAGGTGTTTATTGCTGGCATGCAAGGTGTGCTTTTATTTTTACTGCATATCTTTGAGAGGGAATTTCTATGACTAACAATAGCATGCCACACAAACATTTAAAACATTTAAATATTGAATCAAAATTTAAGGAGATCATGGGACTAAAGATTGAGGAAACTGAGCGGTCTTCTAGGACTTTCATTAATTAGTTCTGTGATCTTGAGCACGTGACTACCTTTCCTCGCATCCACTTTTTCTTTCTGTAAATAAATAAAGGATGTTTTTACAGTCATTTATTTTATACTTAACTTCCAAAATGCCCTAAATTTTAAGATAGATAAATGTGTATATATGTAATAGTTAAAAATGCATAGCAAATATTTAATAAACATACAAAAATGCTACCTAGATTTATCACCTTGCTAGTGTACTATGTATATAATAGTTGGGTTATAGAGGGTTCATCTATATTTTTTTTATTTCAAGTAAAGCACTTTATGAATACAGAAGTTTTTCAGAAACTTTTTCCTTAAAAGCTTTTCAGAAAAAGTTATTTTGGTTTCTTTCAATGTTATTCTATATGTCCTTCCACTCTTCAATAGTAAACAAAGAAAATTCTTTTCTTTGCAACTAAAAGTAGTCAATGATTAACATAAATATGTTTAAAGTCATTCTTCTTGTCAAAATCAAAGATATGGGAAAACTATAAATAATGATTCAATGTGTGAACTGACAATTGACTATGTGCATTTTCAGTGTCTCACTTAATTCCTTTATTAAGGCTGTGAAATAACCCTAGATTTCAAGAAAAGGATCTTGACACGCACTATTATGCAAGCTCCATGAGATCAAGGTCTCTTTCTTCATTGTTATCCCCTCAGAATCTAGAGCACTGCCTGCATATTTTAGGTATTTTATAAATATGTGATTGGACAAAATTTTTTATTGAGTTTTCTGCCATAGACCATTATAATCTAGTATTTCCTTCCCCATTGAAAGAGAATACTTGCCATCCCAAAATGAAGCATATTTATAAATTTTGCTTTGATATTGTTTGTATTTTTCACTATCTGCTTTGATTTGTCTGATACCCCAATAGAAACAGATTTGAATCCCAGTTTTGCTACTTGTAGTCCAAGTTAGCCTAGTCCATGTCTAATTTAGTGTCATCAGTACTATTTCGAATACTCTGAATTTATTGAAATCTTTGAAACTAAACTGGACTTCCTTTGTAGATTTCCTTAAACAAGCGTATAATTTTCAGTCAGAGAAGAAAGCAAAAGTTACTTTTACACAGTATAGTTAAAATTTCAGGTACAGTTCAACATTTTATACAAAGGCCTAAACATCAAAAGGAAAACATAATTTGGTTTTTTAAATGTTTCACTTTAAACTTCAGAAGATAAAAATCTAACTTAGCTTCTTTTCCTGAAATATTGTGAAGATCACTAAAATTATGAGATACAGTAGAGATTTTTGTTGGGAGTCCGCTAAAATATCCTCTGAGTAATATGACCGAAACATTGTACATTTTGATTTTAGGAAAACACTTCCATGTTTTCCAAATAGTACATGGAATTTATGCAAATAGCCTTTGAGAAACTGTATTAAAGAATGACCATCTAATTCTCTATTCTAGAATAGGTTCATAAAGATTATTCTTTTTTTGTTTTACTTGGTGGAAAATAATGCAAAAGTGAGACATAGCAGTGAATTTTTGGCAAATAAATATTGGAATTTGTACATTATTTAATATACTTAGATAAGCCTTCAGCCTTATACCTATTAATTTCTGATAGTTAATTTTAAAAAATTCTGATGAAACTAATGTAAACCTTGGCATAAAGAGGTGCTGAAGGAAGATATGGTCCTTGCCCTCCTGGAGCTTAATGTTCATTAGCAGGAGAGAGAAAGGCAGTCAATTAGATCAGTGAACAGGTGGGAGATGGGATTACCAGGTGAAATAGGTGCATTTACTTGGCCTTGAT